AGCCTTTTGTTCGGATTCAAGAAGTTCCCGAAGCACCTCTTTGTGTAACCTTAGAACGAAACAAATTTGCTGCCTTCAGTGGGACGGTTCCATTTCAAACGCTCCGCCGAACCTATTTCCGCGGAAAAGGACGCGGATCGAAGTGAATGACGCTCGCGAAGCGACGGAGCGACGACTCGTTACCTCCGAATTTTTATGTTTTTACGTCAAAGGAAAAGGTTTCATCTAAAGCTAGCCGAGTGTGAAATTATTAAGTCTTTGTTCTCGCATTTTTATTGTTCGCGCCTTACAGGAGCGGACTTTTCGTTCTTCGTGAATTGTTTGAGAGGGTAAGCGACTCTATTTTGTAAAATTTCTATTCTATTTTTATTTTTTTTTATTCGATTCTATTTTGTAAAATTTCTATTTTTTTTGGGGGTATTTTTATTGTGAGTGACATAAATATTTTAGTGAGAATTCTACTTGATAAATAAGAGAATAGAGAGTTAAGTTTAAGTTGTATATCCCATATGGTGGTGGAGTCAGCTTTCTTTATTTTTCTTCTCTACTTCGCTATATTGTCGATACATCCAGCATCACATCTGTCCATCTTTTTTTGCGCGTACCACTAGACCTTTCCCCTGGCACAGAAAGTTGTAGGGCTAAATTTCTCGCCTATCTTACCTAACATCGTAGCATGTTATCGACGTACATCGTACATTGTACGTAGCTTGCTAGTACGTAGCCGTTGCGAGTCTTATCTAGCCACTTGGATGGTATGGACATGTGTTCTGGTTATGGCCCACGTTTCACTGCCGTACATAAAAACTGGACTAATGAATGTCTTGTAAAGCAAGCCCTTGATTATAACCGACATTCTTTTGCCACATGTAACGCCATTTACTTTGCGTCATTTCAGCCATGTTATGCTATGGCTAGTCGTTATTGAATGCTGCATTCCCAATTCCCAGAATTGAGCATCATCAAACCAAGATATTCATAATGATCACACATGGTAACCAATTGCCTGTCGATGGAAATCGGGCTACCGTCACAGGGATCTGGTTCGTTCATGGTCTATATATACGATAAGCTGTGTCTTTGCAATACTTAAAACAAGACCACCAGTCTGTAACTGGTGCTTCCATGAGACAAGGGCCTCTTGTTAATATCATCAAAATATTAATCTGATTAAGTGATTTCACATAATTTGTTATAGTCTACTTCATTCCAGTTACGTGGTAGTTCGCGAATGATGCCGAGTTTGTTCTGAAAGATTTCTTTGTGAGTAATTGGAAGTGGCTATATTTGTACTGCAGAGCAGGTCTGCACCAGTTTAATGAAATGCCGCAATCTTCCGCGCAAACAGGGGCCCACCTCCCTGAAATCGATAGAACGACTGATTGCTGGGAAACGATCGCTGCTAGCAGAACGCATTCCCGACTTATCAAAATTTGAGTCACGTGCCACCTGTTTCTGAGATTTATATTGCTAATTTGTCGTAGACAAAGTGTTCACTCTCCTCTCAATCATAATAGCAAATGAGGCATATAGTGAAATTAATATCTTAAAAATATTATGTTGGTTGTAACAGCATTGTTCACAATAAGTAACCAATTTTTTCAATGTTTGAACAAAACAACGTGTTTGATACAACGATAACTTAAGTAAATAATTTTTAATTTGTCTTTCTTACTTGGAGCAAGTGTAACTAACGGAGGCTCAGAAACAGCAAACAGAGGCCGACACATCCCAGTGAGACACGCGCAAGTCGATGAGAGGGTGCAGGGGAAATTGTTTGAATAACAATCACGGAGGCGCTCTGTTTGAAGCGGTGGAACCCTCGCGGGAATTACGAAGACCATGTGAATTTTTTTCGGTTCGAAATGTACGTACATACTACATTATGTACCCGCTCGATGTCGACACTATTTGCCAAGGGGAAAACTTAGGTTTTATATTCAAGAAATTGTTTTCGTCTAAATTCTCCCGTGGCTCTCTGTACAGTAGTGCCGAGATAACATTTTTTACGTAAGTTTGGATAAATGTAAAGTCCATAGTTAACAACGGCAGACATGTTATTCGGCCCTGTAATAATAGGGCTTGTGCAAATAAAATCTCTGCATTAACGGCTCGCGTGCTGTTGTGTAGTAAGCTGATAATGAGTGGTCAGAACAGTGCTGGCACGGGCCGTTCGGCGTATAATATCCGCGGGGCAATTCTTCCAGCAAATTACATGGGCCACCGAGTGAAACGCCTCCCCTATTAGCCCATAACATACGGCGCCCTGTTCGTTCGCAAGTAATGACTGCGCCAGTCCAGACGTTTCTCCCCCACCAGGTGGCTTTGTTATGAGCTATTAGGGAACATAAAAACTGACTTCATTTTACGATTGTTTCTTTTCTAGTTTGTTGGGTTAAGTGCCACTTTGAGTTTCTTTGTTCCAAAAAATCCTCAATTTTATGGAAAATTTCAATATCACTCCCACGTTTTTATTTCATCGTAAAATTATTGTTACTTTCCCATTTTTTATACGTAATTATTCAAAATAGAAAAGCACTACGCAATATAGACTGACCTCAAATTTCATGTTGATGCATGTCATTATCATTAAAGTTATATTGTATTATGTACACTTATATGGTTATGGCAAATAAAGTATTATTATTATTATTATTATTGGTGTCATAAGTCTATCTTTACTATAATAAAAGAGTAGAATCAGCTTGTCTGTACATTTAATATATTTATGAAAAAAAAATAGGGTATCATGAAAAGAGTTACAGGAAACATAAAAACCATTTATGGAATTTTTGTCTGTCTGTCTGTGCGCGATAAACTCGGAAAATACAAATCGGATTTTGATGCAGTTTTCACTGGTAACTTAAGCAAAACTTGGAGCAACGTGTAGGCTTTATTTCATCTCTATCGGTTCACTCAAACGGGAGCTATGGGAGTTCTAAGATTAAAGCAGTGCAGTTGCAAACAGTTAGTTATCACAGTTATCCAACTACTTGACTAATTTGTATGGTGTTTTTGAATATATTCAAGATTAATTCTGTACAACATTAAAGATTTGTTTTATTGCAATTTGTGCACTCAAAAAAAGTTATATGAATTCTCACAAAACATAGGATCGTTTTTACGGGGTTTTTGACAGCGTGCCAGTACAACTTCCTCGAAATATTTAAGTATCGTTCTATTGTAATCAGTTTACTTAAACAGAATATACAGTTACTGGATCATTTGGAACAATTTTAATTTTTTTGAAATGTCATACAAAATGTAAAATAAAATAAAATACTATCAGTGATAAAATGTTAACCACATAAAATATAACCCATAATAAAAACACCAATAACGCCATAATAATAAATCAAACTTTTTTTATTATTTAGTAACGAATTTTTCAATTGATAGAATTACAGTACAGCATAGGTAAGTTACGATAAGATAAGGAATTAGTTCCCATGCAAAAACTAAATGGCGTTGTTTTTCATAAAATACGGTGTAGATATAATATATTCACAAATTAATTAAGGGCCAACCATTATGACCGCCGACCATTTGCATTTTAATAATAATTTCTTCGATTGAGATTTATACTTATTTTGTAGTATTTTCTAAATAATTGAATTTACCTTTTAGTTTTTATTACAAAAATGCCTCCATAGAATCAAAAAGAATGAGATCGATTTGATCTCAAGAATCTAATGAATACACATTTCGCCATTGACGCCATTCATTATCTCGCACATTGGAGTCAGTTATAGGTTATAGACATTAAAGTAAAGTAAAAAAGTAAACTGAGAGTGAATTCTGACTGAGCACCCGTAGAGGCCATTAACAGAACATTACAGTACATACACCGAGATGAAAGGCCAATGGAGAACGTCATAATAGTTATCTCTAGAAATTTTGGAAACCCTTCCTCTCATTACTTAGGGGACTAAAGCGAAGAAATAAATGCCTCACAGAAGCGTTCTTATCTCTTGTCTCAGAAACATAAGTTGCGGTTGGCAGTTATCGTGCGGCCTCCGTTTACATGTCCAAGAATTTTCCGATTTTCTGTTAAAATTTGAGAAGGCAGAATATATCAGAGAAAAATGGGCAGGTGTGTGTTCCATATTTGGTACAGTCGTTTTCTCCAAAAACAAACTGATAAGTTCAGTATTTGGAGAACTTTCAATGAACATTTGAAAGCTCTCCAAATACTGAACTTAAAGCCTAAACATAACCAAGAATTTTTCTGATGATATCAGGATAGTTCTTGGTTATGTGAACACATTATGCTCACTGCAAGCAATGAACAAGCCAGAAATTAGCCGGCTGAGTTTTTAAGTTCGCTTACTGAAAGTGCATATAAAATCCTGCGCAATGTCTTTGCGACTTTAAAATTTATTTTAAATGAAAATTGCACAATGCTGTTGATATCATCTACCACGATCAGCAAATTAACATCAATTTACAAACATTTGCGATCTATTTTTTTATGCCATCAGTGCAAATGCAGGACGACTATGGCTCTAATGTGACATGACAGCAAAATGTAAACAATTCGAAAATACTGTTTATATAATCCAAGAAACACATCACATTTCAAATCGTCGTCATTATACGAACAATTTCTGTTTAATTCTAAATACTTGCTAAGGTCATAGAGATTAGAGATTTGACAAGTGCGATTCACGAATGAGTGAGTTTACAATAAGAAACATCAAGTCAATTAAAAAGCCAGTAGGTACAAATTATATAAGAATTCGGATATATACATTAATCAGGAGGGGTTTTTTATTGTATAACATAGTGAACCCCAGGAGGATGACAGCATTAATTTGTCCTGTGTTGTCACTGTAGGAGAAACTTGAGGCTACTCTATGCTACTACCCGCTATCCTACCCAAGTCCTTTTAGGCTATTGTTTATATCAAGACAAAGGACATTTCGTACGGAGTTCATAAAGGAGTATCTTGTTCAGAATGTTTTGCGATGGCAATGAGTAGAAAGTCGGAGGACGCTTACCTTTTATGAGATGGGCGGCGAGGACGAGTGCAGCGGTGAGGACGTGCCGGCGCCAAGCGCACGCGCACATTCTGCGCACGCGCCTCTGGCACGCCCACTGTGCACAAGGCAACGGTACTTTAATCTCAGACTATTTCAGGGCGGTCTTTATTGTTCATGCCTGTTTTTCTATTATTTTCAATTCAAATGAAATAGTGTTTATATAAACAACTGCAACTGTCGTAAGGCCACACGGCAGCTTATGCTGTTGCACCAATGGGCAGGCTCCTCCGGGGAAGAGTCACGACCTCTCAGAAGACCCGCGCAATGTGGAGGTTTTACATTTTGCGTTTCCATCAAGTGAGATATTTGGATCCCAGACAGTCCATGTGCAGGTTTGAGAGATGGGCGACAATCGCTCAACATCAGAAATATATGGCAATTCATATACGCGTGTCTCGTTGAATTTTCATATAATGCGGGATATAGACAAATTACTCATTCAAACCGATTGCTAATCAATATGTACTGAACATCTGACAATGTATACAAATTAAAGTTATAAAAAAATTACTTAATTTTTAAATGGATTTTATTCTTGTTTTTTTATATAAATATAACGTATACGTGGTGTTTTTTGCTTACATAGTAGCCAAATACAGTGAGATTCACGACTATGGCAGACTTAATTTATGCGACGCCACGCTGTGGATACGGATTGGAGCTACTGTTTAATCCCAAAGTTAAGTTCAGGACGCCTTCTGAAAATATCCGTGCGAATAATTTGAACGTTTTAAAATAAAATTTCCACAAGTACTAGAGGCTGAACGAAAGAGAGGAAAAGAAAGCCCCTGGCGCATTGTTTGGGGAACTTATTTTTCTCGCTGACTCTGAGAGTCCGTCACGCTGCAGATAAGTATAAATCTTATACTATGGGGTTAAGTTCGTGGACCAACTTCTAGATTCCGTTATTAATATTGAGGAAATATTTTAACAACGGCAGGTAAACTGAGCCTTAATAGCTCATTGTCCGGAAGTTCTTTTTTAAATCAAAATACTCGAGCAACCTGATTTATAATCCCTTTGCCGAGACCAATACAATGGTTAGCTGCAATTGTAACCTAACTTATCACGTACGCAATGGTTAAGGAAATCTTGGAAATCGGAATTCATAATGATTTATTATATTTTAACAATTTTTCCTCCACACTGTCGAGGACTAGTGGCTCATAGGTAGGCTAGTGGTCGTATAGTAGATAGTTGTGAGTAAAAAAGGTAACGAACGTATTGTCGATTCCACCCCGTATGAAATATCTCGTACACAATTACAGTCGACCAGCAGGCTCCTATCTAGCAGGAACTTCCGCACTCTCCCCAGTAGGAAAGACCGACAAGAAGACCGGCGAGAGTTTCGTGAGTGCCGTGACGGGTGCCTCCTAGTGCGGCGGCCATCTTGCCGAAAGCCCACCATGAGCCCTACTGCGACTCATTTATTTTAGTTTAGTTAAATGATTTCACGATAGGTTATTTTATTAGTGTAATCCTTCTAAAAAGGAAATTGGACCTATTTCATGAACACTAAAAAACAATATTTTAATTATTTGTAATTTCAAAAGAAAGTTCAATTAAATACTTCGTACGTATTTAATTCGTTCTAACGTATACGTAACGTAAAGTAAGTATATTTTGCTTTTGTTATAAGAATGGACACTTTTCGAAATACATAGTCTATTAATCTTAGCACGTCAAGCCGACCGACGTTTCAAAGTCACATGTGAAAAGAAAAGTTAAATGGATTTTGTCACCAACTTGAAAGGGTGAACCCATCACTCTACCGCAACTTTAGGAGGATTGGAAATAACTATGACAGATGATGTAGATAGAATATTTTAAACTTACAGCTGATGGGAACATGATACTATAGAACGAGAGAGAGAACGTGATATATAGGTGAAGCTAAAGAAGTATCAATGCCAGACAAGTTTCACGTTTTATTTTTTATGTCAAAGTGTGACTCCATTTTGCATTGAGAGATATGATTGGAATAAAACATTAGCAAGGAACACGTCACTCTTGTTGTCGTCAACGGAATGCCTCTAAGTAATTGAATGGCACCGTCGCACGCCATTAGAAGGGGCCTGTCATACGCCGAGCTGCAACAGGCACCTACACCGCTCGGATGATATATCATTCCGAAACGCTAACGCATCACGCAACACGACCTGTTGTACATTATGGTTACTAATCAAAATTATCATTAGTATTGTATCTTTTTAAATCTGACACTATTGTTATCTCGTAATTTTCTCTATAATGTCCTTAAATGTTTTAATCAATGAACGTTTCTGCATTCTTTGCGTCTTATAACGTTTACATAAATAAAAATTCTAACACAAACAAAACTCGTTTCAGGTTAGGACTTCTATAATTATAGAAAACATGTTTTTATTTACAAACTATTTTAAGCGTTCACTTACACTACGATCTTTGTCTATAATATCGGCAAAAAGGTGTGCCAATAAAATGTGGTAGCGAACACATGCTCCACACATAAAGACTCCAGCGGGGACAATGAGCCGAATGGGCACGCTTTCGTTCTTATTTTAATTAACAATAATGCCATGACACGAGGTCACGGCAACAGGTCTGGGCTGCAAACACTCACCCGCCGCAGCTATGTGGGGCACATTGCTTTTAACCGTGGTCCTGGTGGCCTGGTGACCTCTTATATCCATTAGATTGCATTTGCAACCAGCCATTAGTAAATAGCAACACATCGGCAGCTTCACGAAATTTGTACGAAGGATAATACTCAAATAAAGCAATAATCAAATATTGGAGAGCTCTCCTACAAAATTGTCTCAAAATTCATTAAATATCAGTTACAATAATTCGAAAATTCTATTTGAGGCACTGAAATAAATAACCGGGAGACTCAAACATGGCGATGTCGCAACGGGTTCGTAGTTTATGAACCATTTCGCGTATTACAATGTAATGTAGTGGAGTCGTCAGTATTGTTTATGCGCCATCTATTTCACGCGAACAAATTCACGTTTAATACTTTATCGCTTTCCTTTAGCTTTAGGCCGCAAAACTTCTATATTGCATAGTGAATTTTTCGTAAGTAAATACGAAACCGCATAAAGTTAATTGGATATATTATTTTGATTTCAAACACAAATACAACAGAATTAATTTATGAAGGTTGTATCTGCGGAAAGATGGGAAAAATTCCAAACAACATAAATTGATTGCTCATTGATTTTATTAAACAATACTTTAATCAATGAGCTGATTTAAAAGAAATATGAATTTTCCGAATGAATGATAATTCATGATTTGATTGATTAATGATGATTACGCATTTCAAAATTAACATTAAAATTCTCCTGCCCTTATCCCACTTAGATGGGATCGGCCCGACAAGTGAATCCTGTTGTAGGTGCTTTTTGCTAAGTTTTTTTTACTACCAGCCGCCTCCCTGACGTCAGCCCTCCTTATGAAAGAACCAGACCCAAACCAATTATCTGTGGGTCACACAAAACTTGTCCCCTCCTCGGGAATCGAACCCACAACCGAAACCACTCTCTCAAAATACTGATGATAATTTTCACGCAAAAGTGAAATATGAAAGAAACACACGAGGGGAGTTGAAGTGTGAATATTATTTTTAGCACAATACACTCGGTGGCATCACAGGCGTGGGTACGAGTGAGCATAATTACTTTCTCACAGTTGATTTCTGGCGGCGGAAGCTGTAGGGAAATGGAAATGGGGTTTTTGTGTTACTCTTTAATAACCGCTTCGTTTAGCGTTATAGCAGTACGAGTAGATATAGTCCTAGAGTGCTAAACAATGTATGCCATTGTTTTTGTTTTTATTAAAGTATACAATATTTTTTAAGTAAGTTTTTCAAAATTTTAAATACACATAGGTACTTCTTGAACGCAATTGTAATTTCATAATTTTCGGTATTAGCCTGATGTTAAGTGTGGGTAGGGCCACGCAACAGCTATTGCACGAATGGGTATGGTTATCACTTAACATCAGGTGTACAGCCAGCTCGTTTGCCAGGTTCTCAAATAAAAATAAAGTAGGGCCCCGGCTACCTCACTCACCAGACGAAACGCAGAAGTGTAACGTTTTCCACTTCACTTCGGAATTCTGTGTGGTCATAGTGCTTCGCCGTTTGAACTTTGCCCCTGCTTGCAACAGCAAACCACAGTCAATTTCTGCTTTTTAAAGATTTTATTTGTTTTCTAGTTTAGTAAACATTTCATCCATTAACTACATCAAAGGCATTGACCCATAAGCGCAACAAATTACAAAATCATTTTGTTTGCTTTGGCGATAAAAATGTTACAAGTCTATGATAATATTAACTATTGAAAATAGTACACCACCAATTTCAATCGACATGTTATGTACATCATTTTTCACACTCTAGTATGTCAGGTACATTCCCAGTGATATACGAACCTATGGAGCATGAAAGTAGATCGCAGAAACTGTGTAAAAGAGACTGCCTCCAGTGCGCCATACTTCCTCGTAATCACCTCGAAATAATAATAACTCAGAAGGAGCGATGCGGGGAATATTGGAAGCTTCATTACCGTAGAGGGGGGCGCCGCGGAACGTGCCGCCGCAACGTCTCAGCGACGCGCAACTACCTCTAATCGTTTCAATAAAGCCCACGACGTGGAGTACTCTCTCGATTTCTCTGACGATGCATTTAGCCATTTTATTTAACCGAATACAAGCTTTGGCAAAGGAAAACTCGCGAACTGTTATATAATATCAACGGTTATCATCATCGGCCAGATAAACTTATGGTTATCTCATTCTTTTTTATGTGAAAAAATGGCTAGGGAGGAGGCAGAGCACCGGTTATGTGATTGGTTAATTGACTCCTCTGTGCATCAACAAAACCTGAACGGTTGCATTGTGTGCCGTTTACCTCACTCAACATACGACTCGTGAAACCATCTCTCTACTTTTTTGAGGCCTTGGTACTTTCCCGGAAAAGAGAACCCTCTTTTGCAACAAAGCCTCTCAAGGGATCCAAAATCTCAGACGTAGGATCTAGTCAGGTGGTAACACGGATCACATGCCATATTAAAGGCACGTCGCTTTTACGAGTACACTAATTAGACACAGCATCATATGATGTGGCCACCATTGGCAGAGCATTAACGTACCACTTAAATTTGAGTGACACTTAACCTATACTGGACGGAGTAGTTAGACATAACGCCCCGATGGCGCGATGGTTATATCGGATGCGTTCATTATGATGATCTATAAACAACGTATATATTTTTTTGTCTTGAAATCGTTGCTTTTTCATGTTTGCCAATCAGTACGGGTACGGAGGCCATAGAGACACGGCACTAAGTTGTGCCAACACTTACTAGTGCATCGCCATCGAATGATCCGCTCGCAGTTCCGAGCCCACGGTCACGGCGGTCACGGCTCACGACATGGGCCTATTTCTAATTTAAGTCAATAAATGAGCTTTTGAGGGCTGGAAAAATATTGTATTATTTTATTTCGCGTAACGCTTTTAAGTGCTCGTGTAGTTTCATTTCTTAGTATCGGCAGGAAATTCTCGAAATAAAATTAATTTATCGCGCTGAGTTTATTTTGCCTGGTCTTCTCAGGTCAGCGGTTTTTTTTCCGAACCGGTGTTTTAGACAATCAATAAGTGTAATGATTCTATATTAAATAAAGAATTTTTAATTAATTTGAATGTCATGAATATAAATACATCTATTTAACGACATGTATAGTTAATTGGGTCAACATTTAAACAACTGTATTGAGTTAAAGTGATTATAAGACCATATTTCAGCAAAGTTGCCTCGCGAAGTAGGTATGTACGTGCCAACAGCCGCCGTATTAGTTGATACAGCCCTCTCTTCTCCTCCAACAACTACCGAACTAACTCAGTGTTATAAACTCCAAAATTCATCTACGAATTTGTACGCTTCAACTATTTCATGTACGCCTACGAAATTCGGAATTAGCTCCATGTAAATAACTAATCCTGTTTACTCGAGTATAAGAACACAGTTATGTGAGAGTTGGCATGGCTTAGCACTGATTATACTAATAACTAAGCCAAATTAAAATAAATCTAACAAACATAATAAAAATGTACGGTATGAAGAAGTTATGAGGATAGTTTGGTTGGTGGAGGTTCGGTGCTGCGGTTAGCATCCGTCTTCGGCGCCGGGGCTCGTGGGTTCGATCCACACACGGGAAAAATATTCGTGGGCCTTTCGGGTAATCGTCAAGGATATGGGTGTTTGCTCTCAAGGAGCTTGCATAAGAAACTTAGCCAACACCATTAACAACACGGTCAACACAATAAAGAACATAAGTTGCGTGCTTATTTAGAATTAAAGCAAAATAAATACATAACATTGGAATATTTAAAATTGTTAACAACTTTAAAATATATTGTCCCTGGAATGGTAGGTAACGAAATAAGTAAGAATACAAACCACACGACAAAATACCGACCGTAAACCAGTAGTATATTGTCCAATGGAGGCCCCTGCCCTGTGTATTTGCGCGCAAGACACTGCGAGCGGGCGACAGAGCAGTGCTCTCGCACAGAACCACTGACCCGGCACAATTTAGAGCCCGAAGAATTGGGTCGATTGTACCGCACCGATTTGTTCCCACAGCCTTAGCCTCGGCAAGAGCTATTGTTGCCATTTTTTACGTTGTGTCTCACGTACGTACCTACGTCGGAGCTTTTACTCTGGCAACATTTTTCAGAGACGGCTTATACTAATACCAATGCATTTGATTTAATTGTAAAAATATATAAATTTTAAGTGTAGAATAAAGTTTAAAAAAATCTAATTAATGCTTCCATTAGTTTGAACATATTTTCATATCGTAGGGGCACATAGAAAATATGTTCTCGGGAGCCAAGATTTAGGAAGCCAAGACCATTAATTTGCGTAATAGGAAAGTCGGGGACAAGGTACTCGTATGTGCGTCAGATCTGCCCCGATGGAGTCTGGCCGAAGGCTGGCGGCCAGAGGGATAAATTATTCTGATGTTACGAAGGTGAACCTTTAATACATTTAATTAATACGAACCCGAATCGTAACCTCGTCTATCTCGTAATCAAACCCAAGCACAACTCCCTGAAATACCTCATTAATTAAATTTACACAATCTCTTGATGGACTGGCTGTTACGTTATTTGTCCTTCATTATCACATTTTGTATCTTGTTAATTTTTTTATTTTATTGAACAATAATACATGTTTACACCAAGTTTTTCTGCTCAGAAGACATCATGTGATTCATATTATATCGAGTGAACTTTGAATATAGATACTATAGAACAAACGGGCATTTCAGTAACAAAAAATAAAAAAGTACAAAGTTAAAAACTATTTATCTACAGCTACAAAGTATATGAAACATTTATGTTGTAATATTTGATTGTTATTAATAATAACAGAGCAGATAGGTATTTATGAAACAATTAGGTGTAGCGTAACGAGCGTAGTTTGAAGAATTAATCCTAGAATAACATAGTGATTCATTCTTATAATGTGAAACCAGTGTCAAACTGTTGAACTAATAAAATTTATATAGCGATGAAAGCTCCAACTTGAAAATACTAATAAATTAAAATAATATTGCTAGAATAATAGCAGCACTCTATTAGAGGACTAGAGAAAAGCAGCGCTTGTAAAGAAAAACTTAAACTTTGATACATATTACCTTTATGGAAAAACTATGTAGGTACTTACCACGATTATTATTATGGAGTTTTCGCAATTTGTCTAAAGGAGGAGTTTCAAGTAAAATTTGTTTATTTCGCATCCTATTGATACTATTTTTATATTATGTACCATAGCAATAACATCAGAATCGAATGAGCCGGCACAATTCGAACTCCCCAGATTCAGGTCAATCACGGCGCCACCGCCGTGCCGTGCGGGTTTATTTTTGACGTCCAAAGTTTCTTGCCAACTTTGTTTGAAGGCTAAGTGTGTTCCTGCAATTAACCCAAAACATGGGTTCAAATCCTAAATATTGATCTTCTCTTGAGCCTTTTGGAATTGCCAAGCAATCGTGATCGCCAATTACGCAAAAAAAAATTACAAATTACTTCGTCTAACGGCTTACGTCAGCTACAAAAAATTTTGTACTTCACTTACACACTCAGGTCGCATCAAAAGAAACAAATACTTTCCCGTTCATTTGAATATGCCTCGTGAACTATGATGTATTGCGGTCGAAGCTCTGTTCAGGTGTCGAGTTGCAAACCGGAGGGTGCGTCGGCGAAAGTACGGGGCGGTGGTGGCGAAGCGGAGGCGAATCGGAATCCACGTAATTCGCGGGAGACGGCCGAGCGGCGGTGCGTATACGAGTGGTTTTGAATGGCAACAAGTGCGAGGGGCAGAGAGCCGTTCGAGTGGCCGTACGTGCCTCCGCGGCGCGGATCGCGTTATTCGAACAATCGCAGTCGCTTTGGCAGGCGCAGCGGCGGCCCGGAGTGGCGGCCGGAGGGCGGCCGGAGGGCGGCCGGAGGGCGGCGCTTTTGTCCGGCGCCCGGTGCCGGTGCCGTTTCGAGTGTTGCGCCCGATACAAAAACCGAGAAGCCCACAGCGTGCCTTTCATGGAAAAAGAACAAGTATTTCGATACTGGTCCGTTTTTTTTTTCGAAGTTATTCAAATAAACTATTATATATTGCGTGTGCACGAATAATATCATTGTTTCAGCTAATAATAGTTGTGTAAGCACTACACGTTCAGTGATGTGTTTTCTTGCCGTGGAGAAGTGGGGCAAGTTAATAGTTGTTATTACAATACGCAACGATTGGGTATCATCTAGTTATATATACATTGAACATGAACATATAAATGTAGGTCTATTTTCCTTCATTGCAATACTGTTACTTTGTTATTACATAAACAGTTGCATGCTTTTCTAATCGATTATAGCTTTAGTTATAATTTAAAAAGTATAGGGGGTATTGGGGCATGTCCACCATGCGGATTGGGCGATTTCACACATTGTCGACATATTTCTTTTAAATTATTATTTCTAAAATATGCAGGTTTCCTCACCAATTTTTGTTCACCGTTGAGCAAGTGATAAGTCAACACTTAAAATTGAAAATAACAGATTCATTTGTGCCGATACCGGTACTTGAACTCATGTTGCTCAAATACACAAATAGAATTCAAAGCGAGACCTCAGACTAGGGACTATCACGGCTGTAAGCTTAAATTAAACATTTGCAAAATTTTAGTTTTTCATAAAACATTTGCTAAAAAGCATAGGGCCCTGCGAGCGAACAACCGCTCTCGGGAACCAGCTGCCGCCGGCGGTCTTTCCGAACCGTTACGACCTGGGAACCTTTAAGAAGAGAGCATACTCTTTCCAAAAAGGCCGGCAACGCATTTGTGACCCCTCCAGTGTTGCAGATACTCATGGGCGGCAGTGATCACTTACCATCAGGTGAGCCTACTGCTCGTTTGCCGCTTTTTTCCCATAAAAAAAAAACAAGCATATCAGCAGGATGGACATAACACGCGATGTTGTATTAAAAACCAAATTGATAATATTCTTTTATAAAGTTCTATTGACAAGTCATTATTAGGCGAATATGTGAATAAAACACGACACCAAATCATGTAGTGAAATAGTGATGTTAAATAACTTGACGGCATCGAGTGCGGTTTGTTTTAATATCTTAATGTTACCTAGGTAATTTTAGCTAAGCGGCTCTTCTAACCTCTTCAAGGGTGTTTTATGTTTGGTCATTTTCCGGGTATACCGAGAGCACAGATAAAACAACGAATTTGGTTCACCACTGGTATTTAAAAAGTTCGCCCATCGTACGAACTCCCTAATGGCTGAGCCATCAATGCCGAAAATCGAATGTCATTATTGAAAAGCGACTTCGGCGTTAGATCATAAGACATATAAGTAATAAGCCTCGGGTTATTTCGGGAGTTCCCCGCGCGGCTCTGATTGGCTAAGATTGATTAAGAGCGAGGCGCGGCGCAGAGCACGCCTAATGAACCGTATTCGACGAGCGACATTTAAATGGAAGACGCCTTAACAGAATTCAACGACTTGGCTGCCTTTTGTGTAACAAAATGTTCTTATATTTTTCCAGTTCTCACTGATGTTTTCAAGAAGTTCCCCAGACAATGGGCCTTTATCTGCATAAGGAAAATTTCAGAATATTAAAAATAGCAGATTGTATGCATGGAAGTAAAACATTGTACATTTATGTATTCAGTGTATCTAAATTGTGTATACCATGTTGTTGGAATCACTATATAAATAAGTTCGTTATATTGTCTTAGCTATTTTTATGTAATTGATAGAAGAAGAGTTAAATGATGAATGAGAATTTTAATAATACATTTCTTTTAGGTACCTAGGTCTTTTTAGGTTACTGATAACTTTTTTATTCTGTTTGCAGAACATGACAAAAAAAGTCATGTCACATCTATCTACAGAATTTTATTCTAGTAGTTTTACTAGGGTGTTACTAAACAAAAACAAAAAAATATTAAATAAACAAAAAAAAAATACGACGAAACTAATGAGCGTCATGAATAATAAATCTTGCCTTCGTGGGGTTGGCTTCGATTCAAGACAAAAAGTTTTCAAATCAATCCCTCTATCTATAATAATAGTTATCATTTCAATCTTCTCGGCCCAAAGCCTATTTAGTAAAGGGTAATAATGATAAGTACACAACTCCCACCATTTATAAAACCTAAGTTTGAAACCACGTTCCCGGCCAACCTATGGTGATTTAAAAATACAGATTTCGGATCGATCTTCGTTCATATAAAGCAAAAAGAAATAGACGAATTAATTGACCCCAAATGTTTACGTCAATAAATTATCTCTTTTCAATTCCTTGAAAGATATAGAATTAATGTAATTTGTAACGCGAGATTTATCAGTCCAAAGTCGTTTCGTTACTACCATACTGATCGCATACACAATCGCGGCGTATGCGTTTGCAGTTCGTAATTAATTCATTGAACGGAATTGGAAAATACTAACTGTGGATACAATTGGATTGCGAATCGAATCGAGCACAATTTAAATTTTACTGTACAAACATCCTCCCAATCGAACGATACAAAAGTCGTGTTAAATAATTCAAGCGGGCACGAGCAGTTAGCGCAAGCATATACTCACACGCTTACACGTACAAACACGCCCGCTCTTGAAACAGTACATAATATAGAATCCGTACTAGGCAATTAGTTGCATTAATATTGCAGACCGTCATTTAGTAGATTAAGTCTAGCATAATATGTGAGTAGGTTCTGCTTCAATGCTATCATTGGCAATTGTTCGAAATGTCTTCTACGATCACAATAAGCGTCTGTTAGATACGTATATACCATTTGCAATTTTATATGCTGATAAACAAAATGCCATATACGGGACAGTATTTAATTAACAGGTAACATAACCCATGTAGTGAATGTTCCATTGTGGTATTATAGAACTTTAACTGATTTTTAGAAGTCAAACATAATGAAATTGTATTTTTTATGGTCATACCTTTAAGCATATATTTTGTGTGTGATTTTATCGCATAAAAATATTTCATCTAAATGTTTGGAAACTGATGAAGTGGGCGGACTAATTGAACTAAAAACATGCACAATTCGAGAGTAATTGGATCACTAAGCTCTATGCAAAAACGCTTTCTTTTAAGTCTTTTTTTTACTTTAGGACAACATTATCCTGTGGTGTAAGGACGTTTTACATACATCAATTTCACATGGACAAACGCCCACATGCGAAACAACTATCTGTAGGTCATACAAGTAGTTGTCTCGAGTGGGAATCGAACCCACGACCCTGGCGCCGAAGGCAATACCTTGGAACTTGCGCCACGGAGTCATCGTTTTTCTTTGAAATTATAGAAAATTATAGTTCATAGATATTACTTTCAAGGTGGTTCGCGTTCGCTGAGACTGAAGCAGTAAAACTGCGGCTGTCAGAATTTGAGAAAGGCAAAATCGGAAGGAAATAGTAGGTACTTTACTAATACCGAATTTCTGGTATCACCAATCTCACATTGATCTAAGGTTTTAGAATCCTAGCTATAGTTATATGTCTTAAACTATATTCGAACTTCACTATCGCATTCGGTAATGATAGTTGTAAGTTGATGTATAAAATAAAATAAAAAAATTGACGAAGTGAAACACGCTTTTCCTTACAATTTAATCACTTAGAATATTTTCATTCCATAAATATTAGAAGGAAAGAAAGTAAACTAAAGCAACAGCCTATAATTATATAATATGTCCCACCCCTGAGCAAATGTCTCCTCCATTGAGAGGACATTAATCCACGCCATCCCACTGTGGATTAGCGGATTTATATAAGAATTTTTTTTGTTAGTATATGGAAAATATGCAGGTTTCCCCACGATGTTATCCTTCACCTGTGAGTAAGTACTGATAAGTCAACACTTTCAGAAATCAAATGAACAAATTCGTTTATTCGTCGGTACCGGGGATCGAACTCAGGTTGCTCGAGTAGGTATATTGAACTACCTGTGTCATTGGCTTCGTCCGCGTGGAATTTAAAATAAGTAAAATTTATAAAATAAAAGTAATAAGTTACTTCTTATTACCTCACCTATCTACTAGTGAAAGTCCCGTCAAATTCGGTCCAGACGTTTCAGAGATTAGTCGGAACAAACAGACAGACAGACAGACAAATATTGAACTCAGTAAACAGCGGTTACTTTAATATTACAAACAGACACTCCAATTTTATTTATCTGTATAGATTAATAACGAGCGCCCTGACTATCAGCTATTACGGCTCATGAAAGAAGGAAACACGTTTATTCACCGTCTATCACAATAGATACATAACAAACATAAAAAAATAATGGAATTAAACAGAACATAAAACAATTTTGCAAAATTAAAACAAATAAAAAAAACGGGAAAGCTTGTGGGAAGACTGAGTAAAAATCGAGATACAGAAACTTAAATTGTTCTGATTATCACACTGGACAGTCCGTCCGCTAAATTTCACATAGTTGTGTATTACAAATAGTTCGAAAAAAAAAATTTGACTTAATATATCTTTAGGACTTTTCATGATTCTTTTCTACTTTATGAATTTGTTCGACTACGAACAATCTATTATATTTATTTTATTCAACAGGGTTTAAATACTTGTATTACCGAATGGAAAGCCAATTAAGTGTTTTTATTAAATTTTCCTCATCTTGTGCCTAAGGGTTACCATTTTTTTTTACAACGGAGTGAGGTTATTGTTACTTCTAAGGAAAACATTTAGTAAGGTCCCTTTTAATTAAAAGATGTTTTATCAATTTCTGAACGTAAACATAGTTCCGGCATAAGGCATGATATACAAAACAAAAACAATATATTATTAGCTTAAACATTCAAAGACATAAAATATATTTTATTTTATGTTTCTCTCCATTTTTATCGTGACTAAAAATTTTGAAATTACCATGATTTTCGTTCGAGTAGTATAATAGAAAATTATGATGGTGGGAATTGGACACCAAGACAAAAGGAAAATTGAAATATATATATGTTCATTAGAATAAGTTGTACTTTGTTCAAACCATCATCAA